ACGCTAGTGAGACGCGGCGCAAAAAAACGGTAATATTTTGCATAAACTAAAGCATGGAGGGTAACAAAGCTTTTTGTATCCCTGCACAGTCGTCGTTCGGCTTAACGGAGGGTTGCTCGTTTTACACAACGAATAGCAAAGGCGCGCATCACTATAACTGCCGTGGCGACTCTATTTGGTCTGAGTTTAGGTGCATATCATTTGGTTAAAGAAGGCTGAAAATCTTTTTACGTTTCATCGATCAAGTTCGTCGTGGCTTAAACTTTGTATATGTTAATCTCAAAGACAATGTTCGCGAGCTCCTCAAACAACGAGCACTTGAGCCACGTACGGACAATTATTTACCATTTAGTTTAACACGTGGTAAAGATGAAAGCTGAAATGCGTTCGCTTGCTTTCCCTTCGGTCAGCGTTCTCGGCCACCATATCTCTCCTGCAGCCATCGTGTCACGGTAGGATAAACTTAAGACCGTCAATGACTACCCTGAGCATAATTTATTCAAACAGCTACGAGGTTTCGACTTGCTGGTACACTTTTGCCGCTGTTTCATACCTAGCTGTGCGTCGCTTATGGGGAACATCACGGACTATTTCCGAGGAAAGATTAAGAGATACGCTTTTCCTACTGCGGCGCGCAATGTTTCCCAGGCCTTAAAAGAGGCTATTCTCAACCTAGCTTCTATAATAAAATAATAATAATGTGTCAGCTGTACGCCGTAACGGCGCTTCGCTGCCGTACGATCACCACTAGTCGCGCGCGGGCTGAGTACACCGCGAGGACGCCCACTCCTACGCGGATTCGAACCGGTGACCTTATGGTTGTAAACCAAACGCGCAGACCACTCGGCCACCGGCTTCTATAGCGCAGCACTACCCGACAACCCCACTGTTGCTCAGTACCGACGCTTTTGACGTGGCAGTTACCGCTGTCTTGCAGCAAGAGGTAAGCAACACCTTGCACACTCAGTGTCTTTTGATCGAACCGCCCGCAATCTGCCAACTATCGTTACAGCACGTTCGGTATAGAACTATTAGACATCTGAAAAACAACATAGCGAACAAACTCGTTTTCGGTAGCTAAAATAGGCTAAAACACCACAATTGATAGGAATAAGATTAATATAAAACATCAGATAATGGTGAGGCTCAAAGTTCGTGATCATCGGAATGAAAATACTAAGTAATCGGATCAGAATTGATCGATGACTTGTCGGCGACATGTCCCTCAACATGAGTCGTTGTGACAGCGGGCCAGGGCAAACACAGAATGTGAACCAGCCGTTTTTGAGCACAAAAGTATGGGTTCCGATAGTGGATAGCAATTGCCTCAGCTGCTGCTAGTAAGCGACATTTTGCCGCTCGTGTAAGGCGTCCAGCTACACGGTAATTGAGTTGGAAAGTTTGGCAGGTTTCGAATTGGGGATTAGAATCAACCAAGTGTGCCAATACAGCGCTCATCACAGTTTTGCTCCCACCATTGCGTAGATTAGCTGGACAACGCTCACGTATTCTCTCAGATAGCCTCACAGTAGTTCTTCCGATGTATCTTGCTCGACATGCACAAGAGAAAGGATATACACATCAAGAAGCACATGACAAAGCAAGTCTGTCTTTGAGTTGAGGCCTCACGATTGGTGTCAAATTAAAAATTAGCCGCGAGCTGGCTGCGTAGTAGGTATGGCTCATAGCGTCGGATAATGTTCTAGACGTTGCCTACACTATATCATCCCTCTTGAATGGCAACGATAGATAAACCGGTTTATTTTCTACCGAAGTTGGTTTAACTCTCATTTATCTGAACCCCATATACTTCTGAACAAATATTCTGGATAGTCATTTTCCTCGAAAACCCCACTTAAAACACTGAGCTCGTCCGCAAGTGCGTCCTAACTACAAATACTTCTGGCCCTTTCGGTTAGACATCTAATCAAATTGCGTTTCTGATGTATTGGGACAAAACTGGCAAAATATATATATTGTCTGTTCCACGTTGCTATTCTCTGCACTCTCCGTTGGACCGATCCATCTGGTCTTCTTCTAAGCTGAACGTCTAGGAAGGACATCGTGTCATTGCCTTCAGTTTCTAGGGTGAACTTGGCATTAGGTTGTGTTGAGTTAAAATGGGATGCAATTGTCTTTGGACAAGTGCTTGCCTGTCGCGCAAAATACATCGTCCTCATATCGTCCGTAATATGGTTGAACAGTAATGACTCCGCTCAGATAGGTTTTCTCTAATTTGCTCATGAACATATCAGCTAGTAGCGATCCAAGCGGTGAACCCATTGCTACTCAATCTTTTTGTCTATATATGACCCCGTTACATTGAAGTTATATGTTACTAGTACACAGCGTGAGTAGCTGTCCCAATCGATCACTTGAAATGCCGACACCCGATTGATGGTCTAGAATCGTGTCACATATATAGCCTATTGTCTCTTCTACCGGAATATTGGGGAACAGCGACGCCACATCCAACGAGAACATCTTTCTTTTGGTTAGCTGAAGCAGTCTTATGGAGTCTAAGAAACTGAATGTGTCTCGTAGGCTGTACCTGGGCATAATATTTCTCACTGGCTGTAGAAGCTTAGCTAACCACTTGGCTGTTGCGTGATACGGTGAATTGCAAATGCCTAGTATGGGTCTTAGTGGAAATCCTTCATTATGCACCTTCGGTAATCCGTAGAGTCTCGGGATCACCGTCCCTGTAGGACGAATGTATTCGAACGTGACGGAGTCAATCATGTTTTCTTGTTTTAAGCGCCGCAGAAGATTAGTAACTGTCCATTCAGTTTTATCCTTCTCATTCTCCTACTTGGCCATACATCATTTCCGACATATCTTAGAAGACTGAAACTTTGCAGCATCTACCGATCATAAACCACAAGCTTAGGTGCTTAGCTCGTCAACCGACCTGTAATCTCCTTGAGAGTCCCGCCAAGTAAACTATATCGCTCAGTTGACGACCGATATATTACATGTCTCAGGTGTGCACAATGTCATTGCCTACGCACTTTCTCGAATCCAAACCATCTCCGCTGACGCCGGCACCCCCATCGACCTAACAGTTATATCAGCCGCACAACTCAATGATCCGGAGGTACTGCTACGCAGGTCCCCCTCATTGGACACACGACTCATTCCGCCGACATTATCGGAAGGAACCATTCTTAGGGACAGGTCTGTGGGCCCGCCGCGCCCAGTCGTACCACGTGAATTTCGAGAGCCTCTGTTTGACACACTGCATGGCTTGCCTCGCCCAAGCGTACGTGCGTCGTTAAACTCGTTACCACGCGATTCGTTTGGTATAGCGTCAATCGGGACGTCAGTACTTTGGCTGCTGCTTGCCTTATATGCCCACGAACGAAGGTGCCAAAGCACAAGAAAAACCCATTAGGCATGTTTACAGAGTTAGACGCACCCTTTCACCAAGTGTACATCGACCTTATAGATCCTCTGCCGCTCTATATACCTACAGATTAGCATCGATTAATACACCAGATGGCCAGAAGCCGTTTCCCTTCTGAGCTGTTCTTCGCAGAGAACAGCAAAATCATTTCTAGAACGACGGGTAGCACAACATGGCAATCCCGCCATCACGAACATTGATCGAGGGTCCCATTTCCCATACACTTTTAAGACGTTGCTTAAAGATTTAGGTTGCCGACCAATACAGACGACAGCCGGCCGATAGCGGCATAGTAAATCGATTTCACTGCCAGTTGAAAGTAGCGTCATGAGAACACACAGACCATTCATGATGAGAAACCCTTCCTTCCGTTCTCCTAGCAATAAGTTACATTGTAAGATCAGCTTTCGGCGTAATAACAGCGCAGATAGTCTATAGCTGCCCGATGCGTTTGCTCGGACAGCCGGCAGCACTGGCATTGTCCAATTCCTCCTTCGACCACGGAAACTATGCTGATCGATTTTCATACCAGATGTGTGAGCTGCACCCTCCCGCTTCACGGTTGCAAGAGACACCAGTATACTTGCCTGAAATACTGTCTACTTGCTCACATTTACTCCTTTGCCTAGTCGGTTTTAGGCAGCCTTTGCAGTCGTCGTGCATCCGGCCCTTCAAGGTAGTCGACCATATAAACGTAGCCTTCAGGAGCCACCGCAGTGGCCAACTTGTCTCCGTCGTCCAGTAATGCTTCGTGCGACGTTAAAACTAACCGCAGCAACTTACAGCAGTCTAGCGTCTTCGAATCTGTCTACGATCCAGGTCTACGAACATCTTTTTCCCAAAGCCTGTAACCTGTTGCTTTCCATGACTAACGCCGTGGTCGGGTGGTTTGTCAACCCGTTCGCTTTGCAGATTATGTACAGTGTAAATGTGCTTAGGTTTGGAAATATTTTAACTATTTCTCCTCTCTGGTCGAATACCGTTTTAGAAACAACAATTCAAAAACGCGCAGGAAATCTCGAAAGTGTTTCCAAACCTCAAAATTCTAAACATTTATGCAAGTAAACCATTCCTCTATTAATTTTTGCGTTTTCTGCATGGGTTTTGCTTTTCCGTCCCGACATACCCAACCCTCCCTTTCAATCGACTGGGCCCCGAGCGACGCGTTCGAGGATTGTGGCAGTCAGCAAGACGAGAGCCGTTTTGGCGCGGGGCAAGGTGCAGCGGGGGAAAGGCTTCTTCCAAGCGCACCGGTTGGCACCAGCTTATGTTGAGGCCAAGTCGGCATCCTTTCCGGATTAGCCAGCTATTTGAAGTCCGATGAGTACGCTCAAACGGCTCCGTTCCAACGTCTTGCGATCAATATATAGCATACACTGTTCATACAGAGCGCTTTCAACTCATCGTATGGTGTACAAAAGTAAAGAGAGAAGGACAAAGTAGTTATGGACTAAATATTCGGTTTGTCAATGTATATGAAAGCTTACATAATCTGATCATCGGTGTTCACTTCACAGTTTGCATACGTTTAGAAACGAGGAATGTGACGTCAATATAACACGGAACTGAGACAACTGGCTTGGTGAAGTATTTTTCACGGTGGGAGGTTGGCGTTGGACAACAAGGGTTGGGGGAACAGAAGATTTGTCATGGCCGTTAGGGCCCTACACTCTGTTGTCAATGGCTCCAGCAACTGGTCCACCTGAGTAATGGCGCCTATTGGAAGAGGTGCGAGGTGGGCTGTGCAAGGCCGATTCCGCAGTATGCCATTGGAACAATATAACGCAACTGCATGTGCCTCCAGGGCAGTGCTAAAAGTAGCCAGGAAGGTGGCTGTGCCGTTCGGCTGCAACTGGTATAATGTGAACTGAGGCGGAGACTGTAGAAAGTGAAGAAAAGGAACCATTTGTAAAATCAAACGAACAAATACTTTCTGACTTCTCGGCTTTATTTAAGCAAGTCTACTAGATTGGCAGTCAGTGGTAAGCTATCACTGTCGACTGTTTTACCTGACGTACACCTCTCACCCAATGAAACACTGGCAAGAGGATATATATGCAAGTTATTGGCATTACCCATCTACCAGCACTATCGACCAAGTTAGAGTGCGTTATGCAAGTAGGTGAAAGGAAGCCCAATTTCGTGTCTAGCTTGAAACACATAGGCCACAATGACTGTATAATGCAATGAGCGACGCATGCTAATGCAAACAGAAGTTCTTAAGTGGCTTACCCCTGACACATCTGCATCAGAGTTAAAGCTTTTAGAGGGCCAAGTTTCTTCAACGCTACTGACTAAATTAGATTGTCCTATCTGTATAGTTGCTGGCAACTTCAATAGAAAGGATACAGCATTCTTGAAGATATTGGCTTGGTAGACCTAGTGAATGTTTCGACCAGCAAATGCCCATTTGACGTTGTGCTCACAAACAACGGACAGTTGTTTTCCATACCAAAACGGGCACCTTTGAACGGCTCAGACCATTGTATTTTACAACTTGTCCAGTCATATACAGCAGGTATAATTTTGTAACGCAAAGCTACAATTGCTCCTTGGAAACTATCATGAGGCTCCAGAAGATGTTTTCTTTAACTGGTTTGTTGATCTCTAACAACGAGGATCTGTCGCTCGAATGTGATTATCTTACCGACCACAGCAAATATTGCTTTGTGATGCCCTGTTGAAACGAGCTATCTAAGGGCAGATAGATTTTCATCACACCATTAAAGCGAATTCGAAGGATGAAAGAATGGGCTTACAAGCGCAAGTATGTTGTCCGTGTCAAAAGCCTAAGCACAGTAATTAAATCCGAGAGAAAAAGGCTAAATACATTATACTTCGAAGCATTTCTTGGCAACCATAACCCTCGCCATCTATTGAGGCTTTTAAAACAGCTCCGTGGTAAGAGCGTTTGCAGCCGGAGCAGGGAAGTGCATGTGGATAAATTGATTTCTGTGTTTAGTTCCGCTTCAGTAAGATCACCTTTCTTGCCCTCCTTCATTAACTCAAGGACTGTTGCCCCCTTCGATCAAAGCAACGTCCACAAGGAACTCAAAAACTGAAGCAAACAAAGCTTGCGGTCCGGACGCGCTTTCATCATTAGCTTTGAATGACTGTGCTGATTATCACCCGCTTCCTTTAACTGATCACTTTAACAAATGCCTCATTACGAGTGTGATCCCGGACATTTGGAGACTTGCCAGTATAACCCCAGTACCAAAAAATGGATCTCAAAAATATCGTCCAATTGCATGTACATCTGTACTTCTAAACGTTTGTGAAAGATTGTGAATTCCACGGATTTGTTTAGCTGGTCCCGGGGACGATACCTACCAGTTTGCGTATAGACCCCAGCGTTTCCCATTGGATGCAGTGGCATATCTTGTTCCTTCTATAAGCACTGCATTAGATCAAAAATGTAACTCCGTAATGCTTCTTTTCTTGGATTATTCGAAAGCCTTTGGAAGCCTGGATAGGTCAATGTTGCTAAACCCGCTATCCGAAAATGAAGTTCACTCCAGTGCTTGTAATCTGTTACGTGACTATTTTACAGATCTTACTTCACTAACTTGAACGGCAAGAAATACTCTGTGCTCCGTGCCGACTGTGGTGTTCTACAGGGAGAGATCCCATCACCTTTTCTATTTTCCTTGTATGTTGAACAACCCCCTATATAACCCAAGTTTATAAGATGCAAATATGCTGATGTTGTGTCTGGATGTATGGCCCCCACTAACCAGGATTCCTCGGCACCTTAACATGGGTTAGAAGATCTGGTGAAATGCTCTTCATCCAGATCTCTTACACTCAATGCTTCTAAATGCAGTGATGTAATATTTCCTTTTCTCCATGGCGATAAGTTGCAATCCCTCCTAGATTTCTCTCCCAATCATACTGTGAACGAAAATCATACACCCAGCTTTTCTACCTTCAAGTATCTCGGCGTCTTTTTGGCCCAGAATATTTCTTGGTCCAGGCATGTCTGTAAAACTTTCAAAAATCAGAAAACCTTCGTTTTATGCCCTCAGACTTAAGGTGCTTTCAGTACCCCGTACTTTAATATGCGGGTTTGTGACCTCTTGCATTACTTCCCATTGGTTATACTGCTCTCCTGTCATTTTCCTTGAACTGCTTCATAAAGACTACATCTTATGAAAGTGCTCCATAAGGCACATTCCTAGATGCAGTGGCTTGTCTAGAGATTCTTTAGTTGCTTTGATCAGTATGAGGTATGCAGTGATTTTTCTTCTTAGTTGCTAACTGATCGATTTCATCCACTTCACAATTATCTTTCCAAAATGTTTTCTCTTCTGTTCGTTCGAAATTCAGCGCTTTAGTCTCCCACACGTCATCGTATGCTAATACTGTATTGCCTTACCATTCACATTTGCTTGTTGACCCAACAAAAGTCACTAACATGCTGCTCGAGCGGTTGTTGGAGTAAGAATTGTGCATTTTCCCCATTTTTCCTCCCAAACACGTATAGTGATATTAGCATCCAGGTGACCGCAGTGGTGGTGTAAAGGTTTGAAGAGGAATCCATTAGGGTTCATAAAACTTATTTTGTCTTGACTTGACTTGTAGAGCCCAATGCATGTGGGTAGAGGTTATGAGCTATATGTGTTAAACTAAGTATCAGTACACTTTGGAACCGGAGTAGTAATTCGTATCAGCCACAGACACTGCTGCTGTGCTGAGATCGGAAAGAGGGAGCCGGTTTAGTCCACTTGTGAATTCCTCGCCCTTAACCCGAATCCATTCCGCACACTGCGTGGTGGCTCATGTGATCGACTTCTCGTTAGCCTATGGTCTCTTTATGTGTGCACCATACTCCTTAACAACCGCACGTTAATCTCAGGCAGCTTCCAACCGTATGAGCAACAGGACGATAAAAGTGCCATATGACTTACTGTTAGTAGTCGGCTGACGGGCCGTAATAATGTTGTAAGTTCCTCCGTTGTCGCATCCAGGGGAACACCAGCCAGCAACACAATGTTGGATGCAGCACCAGGTGTTCCACAGGACATTGGTAAAGCAGAATGAATTCTGGTGAAGTTGGGAACATCAGGAAGCGCAAGACTCGTGCTACTGTGTGCTTGTTGCAGCTGGTACATTACATCTGTAGGTGAATCGAATCCATGCAGTGCAGGTGTTTGTAACGGCAATTGTGCAATATTGGACGGAGCACACGGCGGTTGTGACTTCCCCACTGAGAACGGGTCATGGAGCAGTGGTGTTTGGGCCATAATAGCTGATGTAATTACAATAGAAAGAAACGTAAGCAATTTATGAACTACTCATCTCTCTTTTTCATTTACACGCAATGTATGCTGCCACCAGAATCTCTTAACATCACAACCCACATAATCCTTGGTTCTAGGATTGCCCGCTGTTGACCTTTACAGTACGCGAGTTTGGAACGCTCAAATTTTAAATACATAAGCATATGAGCCAACGCACCAGCTATGTTCTCCTCTGCTGAACGAGCATCTCTACATTGCTTTTCATCAATACATTATCTACGAAATTTGCATCCAAAATGGATCAGTACATAAATGGTTTGTGGGATATGTAATGAGTAACAAACTGTAGAAAAGCCATTTTGGAGGCGGATTCCATGAGTTCACTCGTCGTCTTTTGAAGGGCTAAAAGTATGGCTATGCTTGGCATGAAATTTGGGAAATTCCCGCTGGTCTCTAATTGCCGCGGTGGTTTATTTCACGGATGGGCATCCCTAACCAGGGAGAAGTTCAAGCGAATATTTTGCGTAGTCTTTTGCAATGATAGTGGACGGTTCACAGTATTAGCGCGACAAGTTGACACGTATTGTAAAATGACAACAGGGCTGGTGAAAATACTCATAAATGTATGATACTGTGGGGAAGTGTGATATTTATTTTCAGTCGTCAAAGCCAGAGTGGGTCAAGCTGGAGGTATGATAATCTTTCCTCTTAAGTATGCGTTAATGAGTGCCCCATGATCATTTTGGTGGATGAATAGACGCTTTCTAGAGCATTTCTATCAGTCTTGCTTGTGTGCATGTCTATAACTTTGTCTTACAGAAGTGTTGGTTACACTGTGAACTTAAATTATTCAAGCTGTGTTTGGGATAGCGAAAATGACCTAGTGAGGTGGTTTGGTAGATGATTCGCCTAGACTAATTGATTCAAGCTATGTTCGGGGAGTTTAAAGCTGCTAGGTTAGCGAACTTCACAGTCTCGAGCAGAGTACGCGGTTGGGCTGGGACACCAGTAAAATTGATGGAGCGTTCTACTAAACAACTACGGACACCAAGAGCTAGAACATCAATGCGGTCCAACATTTTCCTCATCTAATACGCCTTCTTGTGGAACTGTCTACCAACCGCAATCTGGACATGTGAAAACCACGCTTCATTCCACACCAAACTCGACAGATTCTTAAATCTAGTAGTGTTATCATCCATGTTCTCATCCGACAACTCACCTGATGAAACATTCCAGGATGGTCCAAAAAATATCTAAAGGACTAAAAATTGACGAAAACATACACCCATGCAAGAACATGGACAATTCTGCACATACTGATCTGCTTCTAATTTAGGAGCGGTTTCTTACACTTCCAGAATTATACGTAATATCCGAGATTTGTCTTCCGAAAGTCCCATGGACCTACTTCATCCCACTTGTCCATATGTAACAGATCTACTTATAAATCTTTATGCAAAGCTCCAGATGATCAAGTAGGAAGAGCACAATATTTTGCTGTCGCCTATAAATACAAATAAGCGCCCATATCTTACCTGGTCCGTTATGTTATCTATTTAAGAGCGGAAAAGCAATGAACGCAATACACTCCCATGAACGACACCACTGGTGTCAATCCTAGAGGCAAAGCAGTGCTGATATATTTGCACGCTTTGTTCTCAATCATTAAAGTATGAGCACAACAAATCCAATAGAGGACTACCTCTTCTACAGAGCCAACGAACGGCAGACAGTTATTTTGTGATACGCAGTCAAACGCACTTGCATTTCCAGGAGAATATGATAATGTCCACCACACCGTCACTTGCTGCTGTAACGTGGTCTTAAAAATGTAATTGGTATGTGACAGAGGAATGGATTTTGTGAGCCGGTGTTGAGGAATGTTGATTAGATTTAGTCTTGCCCGAATTTGATTAGAGCCAGGTTCTTATGATGGCCCTAGCGGCGACGGGAGTACGGGTCATCGGCCGATAGCTTGTCAAATGGTCTCGTGAACCGAGTTTGTGTTCCGGTATAACTATGACAGAATAATGATGTTCAGCATGAGGATGAGTACATTTTTGTCACCGCCTTTGAACTGCAGGAGAAAGGAGGAGGTTCCGGCTAGAACGTCAGTTTGATGAATGTACCAGACGTCTATAAATCCTTCAGACTCAAAGGGATGTCGAAGCGTAGTTCTTCCGTTCTTCTTTGGATTAATGGACAGGATACATATGTCGTATTATTAAACGCAACTGCAAAGCAAAATTTCGATGATTCACATATTTGGGCTATAAGATTTTTACCGTACCACCGTTTAAAGGTAGGTTGTCGTGTCAGAATTCTTCGTTCCATTAGTTTTATTAAAACACGCCGTTTTTGAGTTCCTGACGGCTCGGGTTTCTTCGGAAATCCTGGACCGTTGTTTGTAAGTAAGCTTCAGTAGCATCCCATGCATTTGGATTGATGTAGCAGTCATTGCAAAGGAAGGTGGGAGTGTTTGGATGGGCTGTTGAAGTGGTCTTTGTTAGCCTTCAACCTTGGGGCCAGAAAGTCCATACATGTGATATTCTTTGTCCCAGATGCTATCGCGGCTACGACGGAATAAGCTGTGGAGAAGAATAGGTCTCAACACGTGGTCCTAAGCAGCTTGTCAAATGTGCGGTAATCAGTAAATTGTAGCTGGGGTACTAGCTTTCTTATTGCTCTGGACTTTTCAGCTAGCCTGTTATTCATGCTGCAGAACAAAGTTGTTTGGTCACTCTTTGTTACTGTCTACTAACGAAAAACTAACGCATTCAAGATTTGAATTAATTCCATTAAGTCAGCAAGAAATTTTCCTTATCTATTCCAATTGACCATAGATGGCCTTTCGCTCCAGTGTTCGAGACTTTGGAGGCGAGCTCTCGGCACGTTTGAGCGACGGCTAATACCAATGCTGATTAACTCCTATATTCGCCCTCACGTTGAATATGCAATTCAGGCCTGGTGTCCATGGTTAAAACGAGACATTCGCCTATGGAAACAACCCCACAGAAGAGCCACAAAGGCAACGCGTGGACTACCGGTCTAAGTTACGAACTGCGTCTTCGTGTACTCGGTGCGTTCTTATAAGATTACCGACGGCTTCGCGGAGATCTTACTCTCACATACTGGATACTAATTGAAAGCGAGCATCCATGTACATCACTGTTGACTCTAGCCCCTTACAAACAAATTCGAGGCAACCGCCTGAAACTAATGACGCAACACTCCCGTCTGAATTGTAGAAAGTATTTTTACTCACTTAGAAGCTGTTCTCACTGGAAGGCATTACCAAGATATGTGGTGAACGCATCAGACATGACGACATTCAAAAGACTGTTCGACTTTCATCTTAGTCATAAACGCTACAAAACGGTTGGATAAAGTGCAATGGTTTAACCACTGCTACTTCTCGTTCCACGTTGGAACATTTTGATTTTAATTTGCCTTTGTATATCCATCCTGTGGGTCTTGTAAACTTATGCTTTTTATCCCATCATACACTATTGAACATTCACCGTTGACACTGTAATCTCCATCGCAACGTGATAAGCCAGTCATGCTAAGTACATTTTCCAAAGCGTATGCCATATAGGGCTAATAAGCCCAAGGTGAACAAACGTGTGTGGGAACACGATGTAAGCAACAACTGAAAAATAGTCGAGCGCAATTCGCTAGCGAGACATATGTGTGTATGTGCGGGCATGAAGTGTGGTTTAGGAACTGAGTTTCGGCGTGCATGCAAACACGCAATTGACCGCTAGAGGGAGATGCCGACTAGCCAGCACCTTAAGCAACTGAGACATGAGGGACATCGTCTGGGTTACAGAATTTTCAACCTAACTGGGATATAGAACGATGTATCTACCAGTGCCACGCAGGTTACAACCTTAGCAGATGATAGGGGTTAGCCTCCGAAGGTCATGACTTTCACTCACCAGACGCTACGTCTATTGCATTTGAAACTAGGAGGGGCTCCATTTAATCTTACTAATGAGCAGGAGGATTTCTTCATTGTAATTGTAATGTTTTCGTCCCAGTTGCTCACAAGCTACATAGCACAGCCTAGTCCGGAAAAGCACCAGACGCGTTTGCACAATTGGGCCTAGTTAGTGTCGCGCATTACCTCGGTATCATACTGGGAATCGAAACCGATAACCGTTAGAAGCAACTGCCAAGTAGCCAGCATCTTAATCTACTCAGACATGGGGTACGTCGACTGGGCAACACAATTTGCAAGCTACCGGGGATATAGCACGACCTATCTTCCACTGTCACGCACGTTACTACCTTAGCAGATTACAGGGACTAGCCTCCGAAGGTCATGACTTCCTCTCACTAGTCGCTACTTCCATAGCGTTTGAAACTAGGAGAGGCTCCCTTTTATATTACTAACAAATGGGAGGATTTTGTCATTGTAACTGTAATGTTTTCATCCCAGCTGCTCACAAGTTACATAGCGCATCCGCGTCCAGAATAGCACCAGTCGTTTCGTTCAGTGTTTTGCGTTAACCATTGATGAATTTACTCGCAATGGAACATTTATTTGTTTTCGTGGGTAATTCTTTTTCGTTTGGGCCGCCATTTCAGCTTATCCATTAGAATCTGGGTGATTATTGGCTGACGTTACTTCGCCGCAACTCCTGAAATTCTTGACTGCTAAACAAGGATCCTTTGTCTGTTACAGACGGGTGTGGTACAACAGGCTCTCTAACGTGGCTCGCAATAGCGGAAAGCTATCGGGTGGGCATGGATCAGGAGAAGTAACATTTATCCGTTGAGCAGGATGGAGTAATCACCCTGTGCATGTTTCTTTGGTGTCAGCGACAAATTTGCTTGAGATTCGAGTTAGGCGTAAAACTTTCCAGCTCCGAACAAGATAGGAACCTGAGAAGTTAAATACAGTACTACTCAAATAAAAACAAAATATGGCATGCACATACTTCCTCTATACACATTCAGTTTCGAAACAACAGGTCTTTACAATGCCTACAAGGAATAG